ACTCTTCATTAATGTAAAATTAATCTACACTACAATCAAAGCTTCCTGGCTTATTTATACATAATTAATCATTTTGCTTAGATAAATATGGTTGGAGACAGCATTTCTAAAATAAATTATTTCCTGCTTTATCTTCAACCTCCTTGTTCATTGTGAAAATTTAGACCTTGTTATTATTTTAAGACCTATCTAATGATATATTACTCTACTAGATTCTGAGGAGTTATTGATTTTACCTAGAATCATCATTTTTTTTTAAATCATGTTTTTCTCGTGAATCATGATTTCTTATTAATTTATTTTGTCTAATGACATCTATAAAGCTTAATTTATTGTATATCTCAAGGTTAACTCCTGGAGAATTATTAGTTACTGGATCATAATAATCAGAGCTTAATACTCTCTTCTATCTTGAAGACATCTTGCTCTCAGTGAAAGGAGATAATGAGTTATTAGTTTTCGCAAAAGGTGATGAAGATTACCATAATTTTTGCTGTTTCTTAGTATTTTATTCTTGTAGTTGTCTTTGAAATGATTTTATTATATTACTATAATCAGGTTTTTAGTCAAATTTTAAGTTATCAATTTTCAAAAGTAGATTTCTAAAAACGCCTATAAGTATTAAAAAAGAGTATAATACAATGATCTACAAAGGATGATGATTTAATCTATTCATGAAATGAAGATTTCTAGCTGAGAATTTATTTATATTAAGCAGCTTTAGTTGTTTTCTAATCAGTTAATATCAACCATGGAAGTGATTATTCTTTTAAATGAATTAGCAGGTAAAGAGTTGATATGAGATCATCTTTTCTTGAAGGTGCTATAAAAAAAGATTAGTTTACAAGTGTATCACTTACGATGACCTTTCATCTGATTCAAGCTTGCAAATGCTAAATTTCCATTAAATGAATTTTCAAGACAAAAGGGAATATGCTCTCCACTTATATTTTTATACTTTCTGGATGCTCCAAAATCAATCAAACTGATTTAATACTATGAAATAGTTCTGAATGTCTTGTCTTTGAATAGAATATTTTAAGGTTTAATATCTCTATGTATATACCCTATTTCATGTAATTATTCTAATTATGTCACCTAAAAAGTCATTTTTGTATTTCTTACTAATTGAATGCCAATATTCATAACAGCTGTCGTAGAAAGCTTTTAGCATGTTGATTTATCTATTTGCTAGTCTAATGAGGGACCCATCTTCTCAAAGATAATGAAAGCTTGATCTTTAGAAGAAGAAGAAGATTCTATATACCTAGGGAATCCACTTATCTAATTTCTTTTAAATATCTTATAGATATTTTATTCAACAAGAAAGTCTTCGTTGTATTTCATCTAAGAATCGATCAATGATAGTCATATAGTCTTACATATTTTATAGCTAGCTTTTCTCCCGATACAATATCCAGAATTTTCCATACGTCTCCGTTTTAGCCTGAGCCGATTTTCCTGAGTTTTTTATAGCGCTAATCAATCATATTCTATTTTTTTATTAAAACTATATTATAATCCTGATAACAGCAAAGTAAAATACAGAAATA